ATGCGCCGATGAGAGCGATGAAGTGCTCGTGGTGAGTGGTGGGTGTAAGTGGTGGGGGGTGGTGATGTGTGGGTGGTGGGTGTAAGTGGTGGTGGGGCGGGGGGTGGGGAGGGTGGTTAGTAGAAGGGCAGCACGAGCAGGGAGCGCATCAACATTCCAACAAAGGACCAGCTGCCTAAATGCGCCGATGAGAGCGATGAAGTGCTCGTGGTGAGTGGTGATGGGTGGGTCTTGAGTGTTGATTGGTGGGTGGTGGATGGTGGATGGTGGGTACTGCTGCTGCTGCTGCATTAGCTACTGTCGTTGTCTCCATCCCTCTGGCCTGCATTTCTTCCCCCACCTTCTCACTCCTCCTGCTCCCCTCTCCCGATCCCCTTTCACCAGGCATCAGGCGCCTTATGTGTCACTCGCCCCACTGTGTGTTTCCATGTCTTCTTCTCCCTCCCCCCCCCCCCCCGTCTTCTTTCACCAGGTATCAGGCGAGCCACACTGTGTGTCACACGCGCTGCGCCTCATCTGTGCGCGCATCCGAGGCAGGGAAACCGCTGTTGCCTCTAAAGGCGCTGCTGCTGCCGATGCTCGTGGTGGTGGTGCTGCTGCTGCTGGTGCTCGTGCTGGTGGGGCTGGTGGGGGTGGTTATGCGGAGACAGGGAGGGGAGGGGGAGGGGGGTATGGGTATCCTGGGTCGAACAGTCGAGGGGAGGGGGCGTATGGGTATTCAACAGCACCAGCAGCAGCAGCGGCGCCAGCAGTGGTGGCCACTCTGTCTGCTGGGGGCCCTGATGGCACTGTTGGGTGGTCGTACGAGGTGAGGTGCATGGCGGTGAGATGCGGTGTGTTGTGGTGTGAAACGGTGCATTGTTGTCGTGCGGTGATGCTTGCATTTGGGAGGTGAGAGTCAGAGAAGGCGGAGAGTGTGTGTGCTTTTGAATTCCCTGTCTCCTTCAATATTCAGCCAGCTCTTCACTCCATCCACCTGACCCTCCACTCCTGTGCCTTCTCCCCCTCCCTCCCTCCCTCCCTCCCTCCCTCCCTCCCTCCCTCCCTCCCTCCCTCCCTCGCTTCCTCCTGCATTCTCTCCCTCACCCCCCTCTCCTCTCCCCTGCACACCCCTCTGAGCAGCCAAAGGTGGAACCGTCCTACCATGACTCTGGCTACTCTGTTCCCAGGTAACACCTGCCCCCAGGTAACACCTGCCCCCAGGTAACACCTGCCACCTGCCCCCAGGTAACACCTGCCCCCAGGTAATACCTGCTCCCAGGTAACACCTGCCCCCAGGTAAGACCTGCTCCCAGGTAACACCTGCTCCCAGGTAACACCTGCTCCCAGGTAACACCTGCCCCCAGGTAACACCTGCCCCCAGGTAACACCTGCCCCCAGGTAACACCTGCTCCCAGGTAACACCTGCCCCCAGGTAACACCTGCCCCCAGGTAACACCTGCTCCCAGGTAACACCTGCTCCCAGGTAACACCTGCCCCTAGATAACGCCTCTCCTCATTGCAGACTTCTCTGCTTCCGAGTTATGCCGTACCCGTTTCTAGCCTCTCTTTTCCCCCCCGCGCTTCTGGTGTCCTTGTACCACTCTCGTCACACAGGGGCTCTGGCTGGGATGTGGCACCGGCAGCAGTGCAAGAGTATGGCAGGTGCGTCTTACGATTGAGTTGAGAATTGCATTCTGCATCCCCCACTGCAATCCATGCCGCGTGCATCCCTTTTTTTCTTTACCTCCCATCTTCCTCCCAAGCTTCTCATCATCCCCGTTTTTGTTACCCTCCCATCCCCCCTCCATCTGCCTTTCAAACCCCTGCTTTATCCTTCTTTTGTTTCCCTCCCATCCCCCTGCCATCATCCTCATCAACCCCTACTGAATTACCTTCCATTTCCCCTTCCACCCCCCTCCTCATCCCCTGTCTGATTCTCTTTCCCTTTTCCCACTCCTCGTCACCCTTTCTTGTTCTTTGTATGCGGCTACTCTCATGCCTCTGCACCCTCCTGATTCCTCTTCCGTCCCACCCCTCCTCCCCTCCCCCTCCCCCTCCACACCCCCCTCCCCTGTTCTCTGCATGCAGCTACTCACATGCCTCTGCACCCGCGTCTGCCCACTTCTCCTCGCCTCCTCCCACTCACACTGCTGCTGCTGCCAGTGCTGGTGGTACTACTGGTGGCGGCAGTGCCAGTGCTGGTGCTGCTGGTGGGTCAGGGGGAGCGGCAGGAGGAGGAGTGATGACAGCGCTGGTGACAGTACCTGCTGTGGCAGCAGGAGCGGTTATCGGCAAAGGGGGAGCCAACATCCAGCAGATCAAAAGCGTACGTACAGGGGGGGTGGGGGAGGAGGGGCAAGGGGGGGAGTGATGACAGCGCTGGTGTCAGTGCCGGCTGTGGCGGCAGGGGCGGTTATCGGTAAAGGGGGAGCCAACATCCAGCAGATTAAAAGCGTATGACAGGGAGGGGGTAGAAGGGGGAGGAAGATGGGGGTTGGATTCAGGGGTGTACGATGGGGGAAAGGGGGGTGTGGTGTGGGGGTATGCAGTTGGAGGCATGTACTGAAGAGGGAGAACGGATGGAATCACAGGCTTGATTGATAGTATTCGGAGGTATTTGGGCAGAAGTTACATCAGGTTACTAGATAGATATCGAGAGAGCGTATTCGTTCTTTCCCCCCATCCCTCCCTCTCCCTCTCACCTGTGCGGATCTCAGGGGCGCGAGTGCGCATGTACAAGGGGCAGGAAGGGAATAGCGAGCGTGACACCCAACCAACACCATAGCTGACCACTCCCCTCCCTTCTGGCCCCACCTTCACTTCTTTCCCCACATGCTTCACCCCATCAGATCTCAGGGGCGCGCGTGCGCATGTACGAGGGGAGGGAGGGCGAGAGCGAGCGGGTGGTGGAGGTGGTGGGGTCGGCGGACCAGGTGCAGGCGGCTCAGGCCATCATCCATGCTTTTGTCATCAAAGGCACCGCCGCTGCTGAGAGGCACGCAGAGAGGCGTGATGCTTATTGATGCAAGCGAGGTGGCGGCACTCGTGGTAAGTGCGGATGCGATGGGTTCATGTGCTGTATGGGGCCATGGCATTCACGTGAGCTCATGGCATGCATGTGGGCTCATGGCATGCATGTGGGCTCATGGCATGCATGTGGGCTCATGGCATGCATGTGGGCTCCATGACTTTCATGTGGGCTCATGGCATGCATGTGGGCTCCATGACATCCCACCACCTGGTGTAATCTTCCATCTCCCATGCCCCATACCCCATACCCTACGCCCCATTCCCCCTTGCCCCATACCCACTGCCCCATGCCCCATGCCCCATTCCCCATACCCTATGCCCGATGCCTCGTGCCCCACACCCCATATCCCATATTTCACACCACATGTCTTACGCCTTGCCTCTTGCCTCTAGCTGTGTTCCCCACCACGCCAAGCCTGCGTTGAACTCGCACCGTGCCACCCATCTTCCATCCGCCTTGTCACCCTGCAGACAGCTTCTGTTTGTCGATGGCCCATTCACTAAACCCAGTGTCTCTCATCAAACATCCCATCCCACTCCCGTGCCAGTACCCGTACGTGCTTTGCCCTTATCTCTCCACCATACCTGTTTTTTCCTCATCAATCCCCCATGCCCATGCCATGCCCATGCCCATGCCTGATTTACCCTGATCAATCCGCTATGCCCCACTATGCAGCAGCAACAGAGCCTTGTCGCTGACACAGCCTCTCACACCCATGACTTTCCCGCTCAAGCCCGACCCAGGATTTAGGGGCATAGCAGGGCCAGGGACTAGGGTCCCAACACCCATGCCCTAGAAACTAGCACATTACGATGAGACTCAGCCGAAGATCTGACCCCTAGATAGAATCTCCTGTGCCAGCACAGGTGAACCTTTGTGGTGGCTCGGGCGGTTACTCCCTCCGAGCTTTACGCTTTCTGAACGAGCCTTGTGCTGTTTTCCCTCTTTGCTGCTTTGATCGAACCTAAGCCCTTCATGAGTTGAACCCCCGACTGAAAGCTCGCTGTGCATATCTGGCATCAGTCATTCGCTTTTGGCCATTTCAGCGACTTTTGAGTCGACTTTTGAATTTACTTCACATCCCTTTTTTTACCAAACCCACTGGATAACTACAAGCCTTTTTTAGCCAGAAATGTCCCAATTCTCCAAGAACTAGTTCAAATAAGTGCTGCATTGGGATTAGTCACTTCTTCATGCACAAATCAAGCCATCTGCAGTTCCTATCCTCGAAACCAAAACTTTTGCCCCCAGCCAGATCCAAACAGTGCTATTTCAGTCTTTTTCTCTATGCCTGAAGCGAACCAACCGGCCTTCCTTCCATGCATGTGGGCACACGACACGAGCCCCCTTCCTTCCATTTATGTCAGCACACGACACGAGCCCCCTTCCATCCATGCTTGTGGGCACACGACGAGCCCCCTTCCGTTCATGGGAGCACACGAGCCTTGCATTGCATCTGAATGACCTAACTTCAATGACCACAATAATGGGCTTGAGCCTTGAGGGGAGGTTTGCGTCAACAATGAAGAGGCAAACATTGAAGCGCCGTGCCTTGTTCAATTCACGTTGCCATTGGTTCCTCGCAAGCAGTGGGTAAGAGGCTAGGTGGACGGGGACTGGATTTGGATTGGATGTACATCCCTGGAAGTTCTATATTGGGGTTTTATTTTTGTGGTTCTACTTGCAAATTGATGTGGTGTGGTACTGATAAGGGGGTGCTAAAGAATTTCCATTAGCACACGCTTGTCAAATCGGATGTTGGAGTGTGTTTTGGTGCATTATTAACCAAAGTTCGTCCCGCTAATGATGTCATATTATCAATTTGTTGAGTGTCAAACGATTTACATCTGACAATCAGACCGCCAATACTGTTCGCTAGCATAAACGGTTCAAGCAGAACCGCTTTTACAGGGGACGCAAATCCCAAAGCACACCTTTCAACTTCCGCTAATCACAAGAGAAATTATTTGGAATTGTAGGTAGAGCCATGGCGTCGAATCACGAGATTCCGCTCCTCCCGTCCCCATCATCCCGCCTCTCCCCGTCCTCTCGCGCGCATCTTACGAACGTCGCGGGAGACTCGAGCCGCGATTCCCGCTTCCGCCGGCACACCGCGTGGGTGTCGTTCACCCTAGCAGCCGCGCTGCTCCTTCTCTTGCTCGAGCTCGAAATCCTTCCCTTGCCTTCGAACCACTCGCGTTCGTACACGTCAGAGTCCGACGTGGCTCACTCTCAGCCACGTGGACTCGCGGAACCGCGCGAATTCGAGTTACCTTCGTACGCGAATTCGTATGAAAGTGATTTCGTTCGTTTCAGTCGTTTTCGTGATGAAGAGAGTGCTTCTAGTGAAAGCCTGAAGAGCTCGGAAAAATGGCACAAGCGGGTAGTGCAGCTCCCCCGCCTGCGCGCGGAGCAGAAGCGCGCAAGGAAGGCGCAAAGGCATGGGGGAAAACCGCCTGGTGATGGCGCAGGGGGAAGCGGAAGGGGAGGCGTGGGGTTGCGCCTGTGGCCCATGCCGGTGGAAATAGCGGCGGAAGGAAGCGGAGAGGTTGTAGTCAGCCCGAACCTGAGGCTCGACATTAGCTTCGGTGGAGGGCCGAGCCTGCTAAACGGGAGAAGGCGGGAGGTGAATGCGGAGGTGCTGCGACGCGCGTTTGAACGGTACCTTGGGATCATCTTCGCCCATGACTATTCGCGGCGACGCGGCGGGCAGAACCATGGCGGTTCGGAGAGGCGCCGTCTGGGGGGGAAAAACGCGGCGGAAGGGGGACTGGATGCGGAAACGGAGGGGGAAGAGACAGAGTGGAAGGGTGGGGGAGTCGCGGGAAAGGAAGAGGAGAGGAGGAGAGGAGAGGAGGGAGAGGAGGGAGTGACGGTGATGGAGTGGGTGCGAGTGCATGTGGAGGACGCCGAGGCGGAGGTAAGAGAGAGGAGTGGTGCACTGCTTGTGTCCCAGTGCTCATTCATGGGCTTATCTTCTCGGCTGCAGTTTGCTTCGTTCTGTGTGGCATGATGGAATGAGCGCTGCCTCACATCGCATGGCAAGGCATGGCATGGCATGGCATGGCATTGTATGTTGTGACTATCAATGCATGGCATGACCTGTATGACATGACCATCCTTGCATGGCATGGCATGGCACGGAATGGTGATGCGTGCAGCTGCACATGGGAGTGGACGAGAGCTACGAGCTATCCATCCCACATGCACCGCCACAACTTGCTACACGCCACGGGCATGCCATTGCCAACATGTCTGCCACCATTCGGGTCAGTGCTCTGCCCCTCACGCGGTCTGCCACCATTCGGGTCAGTGCTCTGCCCCTCACGCGCTCTGCCACCATTCGGGTCAGCGCTCTGCCCCTCACGCGCGCTGCCAACCCTTCTCCTCCTTCACTCCTTCCGTTAATGAATGCTCGTGCATCTGTCTCTCTCCGTCTGCCTGTCTGCGTATCTGTCTGTCTCACTCCTCTCTCCGTCTGCCGGTCTGCAGGCCAGCACCACCATTGGAGCATTGCGAGCACTAGAGGTGAGCCCTCTGCGCCCTCTAGCACAAGTCATCAACGGCCATGCCTGCACACCTGATTCGTATCGCTCCTCATCTGCTCACCACACTTCATCATCTAGGCATCACACCTCCGCTCGTAATCATGTGTGCATTTTGATATGCGCCTATAGAGCTCTTGTCCTTCCCCCTGCCCCTTTGTTTGCGGTAGAAGCTCCCCTCCTCTTCCCTCACTCCCATCCCCTCTCTCTCCTCTTTCCCCCAGTTCTAAATTGCACCCCTTGATCCCCTTCCCGTTTTCACCTATCGCCCTATTCTATCACCCACCCCCCCGTCCCAACTGCCTCTTGTGCTGCACAGACCCTCGCCCAGCTCTGTGCCTTTGACTTTGTCGTTGCAGGTGGCATTTGCGAATTCGCTCTTGAGAATTCTCAAAAGCGACTCAGATTGAGAATGCTCAGAAATCGCCTGCGCGTCCCGCCATTCCCTCTTGCGTTGTGCCCACAGACCCTCTCCCAGCTCTGTGTGTTTGACTTCGTGGCTCGCGTGGTCACCATCCGGGGCTCACCCCTCCTCATCCGCGATGCCCCCCGCTTCCAGCACCGCGGGCTGCTCATAGGCAAGTCGTGCTCGTGCACAGCAACAGACTGAGTATTGAGTCGACACAAAACTCGCTCGCCCCTCCTCATCCGCGATGCCCCCCGCTTCCAGCACCGCGGGCTGCTCATAGGCAAGTCATATCATGGTCACCAACTCACCACCATCCTGTGGCGGGGTGCTGCATTCGTGCTCGTCCATTGGGTAAAATCAAAAGTAACCTCGCTCTTTGTTCCAACCTATGGAGGATTGCTGGTTGGTATGCAACCCCCCCTGCCGCTTCCTGTAATCCTGCAGGGTGTTTTTTGAGAATTCTAGTTTTGAGGCGCCTCAAAACTAGACCCCCCTGCCGCTCCCTGTAATCCTGCAGGGTGTTTTTTGAGAATTCTCAAAGACTTCCTGAAATCCGCATCTGCCATCCCCTTATTCCACCATTCCACCCACCATCAACCCCACCAGACACGGCGAGGCACTTCCTGCCAGTGCCGGTGATGGAGAGGGTAATTGACTCCATGGCGTATGCCAAGCTCAACGTGCTGTGAGTGCAACCCCCCCTCAACGTGCTGTGAGTGCAACCCCCCCTCAACGTGCTTGGCCTGGGTGCACGCCATGGGTGCATGCCATGAGTGCATGCCATGGGTGCATGCCATGGGTGCATGCCATGGGTGCATGCCATGGGTGCATGCCATGGGTGCATGCCATGGGTGCATGCCATGGGTGCATGCCATGGGTGCATGGCATGAGTGCACGCCGTGGGTGCATGCCCCCCCCTCTTACATTTGGTTCCGCCATTTCTCCCGCCCCCAGTCTCTGCCACACCAAGCAATGGCTCATGGTGGACTCGCATTCTTTCCCCATCGAGACCCCATCTCTCACTCCCTCATTTCCCTCCTTATGCTCGCTCACTTCCCCCCAACCTCTCCTCCTCCTGCCCTCCCCGCACCCCACACCAGGCACTAGCACATGGTGGACACACAGTCCTTCCCCATCGAGACGCCCTATCACACTTCCTCAATTCCCTCCTCGCCCTGCCTGTGCTTCCTCACTCACCCGCGCAACCCCCACCAGGCACTGGCACATGGTGGACACACAGTCCTTCCCCATCGAGACACCCTCCCTGCAATTAATGCACTCCCCCGTTCATTCCCCTGTCTTCCTCCCCCCTATTCCCCAACCTCCCCCAATCCCTCTCACCCCCCACCAGCCACTGGCACATGGTGGACTCACAGTCCTTCCCCATCGAGACGCCCTCCTTCCCTCGCCTCTGGCTCGGAGCTTTCTCTCCGTCTGAGCGCTACACCACAGATGACATGCACCACATCGTGCAGTCAGTACCTGCTCTCTTGCCCCTCCCCTCCCTCTTTCCTTTACCTCCTCTTCCGTGCACCTTCTTCTCTTCCCTTTCTCTCCGTCTGAGCGCTACACCACAGTTGACATGCGCCACATCGTGCAGTCAGTAGCACCTGCTCTCTCGCCTTCCTCCCTTTTCTCTCACCTCCTCTTCTCTACTCCTGCTTCTGTCACCTTCTCTCCCTCTGAGCGCTACACCACAGATGACATGCGCCACATCGTGCAGTCAGTACCTGCTGTACCCCGCTCCCTCCCTCTCTCCCGTTCCTCTCTCTTCCCTGCACACCTTTGATGTGCTATTTCGATTCAGTCCTCTCCCTCTGAGCGCTACACCACTAATGACATGCGCCACATCATGCAATCAGTACCTGCTAGCTTTCTCCCTCTACACATCCTTTTCTTGCCTTTTTCTTTTGCCCTCTCCTTCGTCGCTGCTCTCGTGGTTTGCCACCTCGTGCCACCTGTGCTGCAATTTCCTGCCTGCCTTTTGAGTCGACTCAAAAGTCAAAAGTCACCTTTTGAGTCGACTCATAAGTCATTTTGAGTCGACTCAAAAGTCACCTCTCCTTCGTCGCTGCTCTCGTGGTTTGCTACCTCGGGCCACCTGTGCTGCAATTTCCTGCCTGCCTGTCACCTCGTGCCACTTCTGCTGCTGACTGGTCGTGCCACCTCTCACCTTCCTCCCTTCACCTCTTGCCACCTCCCTCTCTCCCTTCCCCACCTCCTGCTCTTTTTCCCATTCCATATCATCTGTATTAATCTGTCTCTATGCATTGTTTCTGCATGGCCCTAACCTTGTTGAGCCAGATACGCGGAGGAGAGGGGGGTGATAGTGGTACCTGAACTCGATTCACCTGCACACGCTGCCTCATGGTCAGTTCTCCTCCTTATATTCCTGCTGTGTTTAGATTTGAATCAAAACACTCCGAGAGGGGGGTGATGGTGGTACCTGAACTCGACTCACCAGCACACGCTGCCTCATGGTCAGCTCTCCTCCTTTTCTCCCTTAACATTCAACCTTTCACTCCACTCAAAAGTCACCTCTCTGGCTCTCCTCCTTTGTTCCCTTACAGATCTCTGACAGAGAATGATTTTAGAGGCGCCTCAAAAGTAGCCCTTACTGATCTCTGACGGAGAATGATTTTAGAGGCGCCTCAAAAGTAGCCCTTACAGATCTCTGACGGAGAACGTGTGCTGAGTCCATCCCATTCTAATTCCTAATCATTTATGATTCTCCCACTTTATTCCTTTCCCACCTGGCCTTTGATTCTCACTCACGGTCCCATTCATTCCTCTCCATTTCCCTTTCCCATATCCCCCTCTCTCCCTCCCTTCCCCCTTCCCCAGGGGAGTGGGCCACCCAACGCTCCTGCCAGCTGCTGCCTGCCCCGAGCCTCTTGATGTGTCCAACCCCTTCACCTTCCAACTCATAAAAGGGGTGCTGCAAGGTGCGTGTGTGCGCCAACGGGTGGGGCAAGGTCTGTTCGTGTGTGCAAGGGGGTTGTTTCGAACCCTTTCACCTTCCAACTCATAAAAGGGGTGTTGCAACGTGTGTAAGGTGGTGTGGCAAGGTGTGTAAGGTGGTGTGGCAAGGTGTGCAAGGTGGTGTGGCAAGGTGCATGCGTGTGTATAAGGTATGGCTGCAAGGTGTAACCCCATCGATTCCAACCCCATCGATTCCAACCCCATCGATTCCAAACCCATCGATTCCAACCCCATCGATTCCAACCCCATCGATTCCAACCCCATCGATTCCAACCCCATCAATTCCTACCTGACATGAGGGGTTGCAAGGTGTATGCGTGTGTGTGCGTGCAAAGCAGTTATCAACCCTTGTCTCCAACTCTCATCTCCCATGTTCCCCTGTCCCCCTGTTCCACCAGACCTCCGTGCAGTGTTCAAGAGCTCCCACATTCACCTGGGGGGAGACGAAGTCAGCTTTGGTGCGCATACACACGCACACACGCACACACGCATGCACACACGCACGCACGCTCGCACGCACGCTTGCACGCACGCACGCTCGCACGCACGAACCAACTTTTCCAACTGGCTCATCGCCACCGTACATTGCTGCCACTGTTCTTGTTGTTCCTTATTGTCCCTTATGCTGCCACTTTCCCCTTGCCCCTTCTTTGCTCTCATGGTTCAGCCACGACTCATTGCTCCCCCTCTCCCATCGTCCCCCTCTCCCCAATCATCTCTCCCCAATCATCTCTCCCCAATCATCTCTCCCTTCTCCTCCGCCCGCCCTCCGTCCTCGCATCAGAGTGTTGGAGTTCATCTCCCGCCATAAGTGCATGGTGAGTTGCTGACCTGTGAGCTGGTGCGCTGACCTGTGAGCTGGTGCGCTGACCTGTGAGCTGGTGCGCTGACCATGGACGGACGCTCATTGCAGAGTGTTCTTAGAGTTCTCTCAACGCCCTCCGGCCTCGCATCAGAGTGTTGGAATTCATCTCCCGCCATAAGGGCATGGTGAGTTGCTGAAAAGCTGAGCTCTCACTTGTGAGTTGTGGGTTGCTGAGCTGGTGCGCTTACCATGGATAAACGCGGGTTGGTCCTTCGTTTGTCGAGTGTGCGCTTGGACTCAAATCTCGGGACACCTAGCACTCCCACATGGGCGCACTCCCACATGGCCGCACTCCCACATGGCCGCACTCCCACATGGGCGCAGCACACTCAACAATATGCACGTATAAAAACACCTTCACAAGTCAACCCTACCTGTTCCCCCCTCTCTGCCTGGCATTCAATACCCCCCGCCTCCCCTTCCTCCTCTCCACCAGGCTGCAGCAGCGCAAACTGACAGCATTTGAGTCGACTCAAAAGCAAATCCCCCTCCTCCCCTTCCTCCTCTCCACCAGGCTGCAGCAGCGCAACCTGACAGCATTTGAGTCGACTCAAAAGCGAATCCCCCGCCTCCCCTTCCTCCTCTCCACCAGGCTGCAGCAGCGCAAACTGACATTATTTGAGTCGACTCAAAAGCAAATCCCCCTCCTCCCCTTCCTCCTCTCCACCAGGCTGCAGCAGCGCAACCTGACAGCATTTGAGTCGACTCAAAAGCGAATCCCCCGCCTCCCCTTCCTCCTCTCCACCAGGCTGCAGCAGCGCAAACTGACAGCATTTGAGTCGACTCAAAAGCGAATCCCCCGCCTCCCCTTCCTCCTCTCCACCAGGCTGCAGCAGCGCAAACTGACAGCATTTGAGTCGACTCAAAAGCGAATCCCCCGCCTCCCCTTCCTCCTCTCTTCCAGGCTGCAGCAGCGCAACCTGACAGCAGAGGGCGGCTATGGGTACTTTGTGAGGCGAGTGCAGGCACTGGCCGTGGAGGCTGGATGGCAGACCACTGTCGTGTGGTGAGTGCCACACCACCTTTCTCTCTTCCCCCACACTTGTCCTCTCTTCCCCCACACTTGTCCTCTCTTCCCCCACACTTGTCCTCTCTTCCCCCACACTTGTCCTCTCTTCCCCCACACTTGTCCTCTCTTCCCCCACACTTGTCCTCTCGTCCCCCACACTTGTCCTCTCTTCCCCCACACTTGTCCCATATCCTTCTACCCTCCGTCTTTCCGCATCACGCGAGTCGGTTCCACTCACCTCGTCTCGAACACATTCTCCTCGACCTGGCACCTCTTCCCACCGCCATCCTGCATCATAAGATTACGTCCGTTGCCAATATAAGTCATCGCCCCAAACAATACAGACTCCGTAGCGATTGCTTTCAATCTTAGGACAGAATGTGCAAGAATAACTCTTGACACATATGCTTGTACATCAGCTGGATTCAAGAAGAGTTTTGAGACGTCTCAAAACTCTTCTTCAATCACTTGACACATATGCTTGTACATCAGCTGGATTCAAGAAGAGTTTTGAGACGTCTCAAAACTCTTCTTCAATCACTTGACACATATGCTTGTACATCAGCTGGATTCAGTATGTCTGCTCCTTGTGGTGCCATACTAGCTGCCAGGAGATTTAGATAAGTTGCTCTCACCACGTGCTCTCACCACGTGCTCTCACCACGTGCTCTCACCACGTGCTCTCACCACACATTCTCTCAACGCACTCTCCCCACACACTCTCCCCACGCACTCTCCCCACACACTCTCCCCACAAAATCTCCCTGCATGGAGGCAGGGAGGAGCCGTTCAAGGTGTTTGGAGCAGACCTGGACCCAGCCACCACCATCGTGCATCCTCCTTCTCCTCTCTCTCTCCCCACATGCTCTTCCCACACACTCTCACCACACTCTCGCCACGTGTGGGCAGGGAGGAGCCATTCAAGGTGTTTGGAGCAGACCTGGACCCAGCCACCACCATCGTGCAGAACTGGTGGGTGAGGGATGGAAGCGAGCTTGGATGGGTGTTTGCCGTTTTTTGCAAAAAAACTGGATCTCGCCTCTCTTATCATGCACAACTGTCGTGTGCCATTGTAACGAGGTGAATTTTGAGTCGACTCAAAAACTGGATCTCGCCTCTCTTATCATGCACAACTGTCGTGTGCCATTGTAACGAGGTGACTTTTGAGTCGACTCAAAAACTGGATCTCGCCTCTCTTATCATGCACAACTGTCGTGTGCCATTGTAACGAGGTGACTTTTGAGTCGACTCAAAAACTGGATCTCGCCTCTCTTAACATGCACAACTGTCGTGTGCCATTGTAACGAGGTGACTTTTGAGTCGACTCAAAAACTGGATCTCGCCTCTCTTAACATGCACAACTGTCGTGTGCCATTGTAACGAAGTGACTTTTGAGTCGACTCAAAAACTGGATCTCGCCTCTCTTATCATGCACAACTGTCGTGTGCCATTGTAACGAGGTGACTTTTGAGTTGACTCAAAAACTGGATCTCGCCTCTCTTAACATGCACAACTGTCGTGTGCCATTGTAACGAGGTGACTTTTGAGTCGACTCAAAAACTGGATCTCGCCTCTCTTAACATGCACAACTGTCGTGTGCCATTGTAACGAGGTGACTTTTGAGTCGACTCAAAAACTGGATCTCGCCTCTCTTAACATGCACAACTGTCGTGTGCCATTGTAACGAGGTGACTTTTGAGTCGAGTCAAAAACTGGATCTCGCCTCTCTTAACATGCACAACTGTCGTGTGCCATTGTAACGAAGTGACTTTTGAGTCGACTCAAAAACTGGATCTCGCCTCCCTTATCATGCACAACTGGTGGGTGGGTGCTGGGCCCAAGGGACGGATGGGGGGTGTGAGTCTGCATGTCTGGTGTTGCCACCACCATCATGCACAACTGGTGGGTGGGTGCTGGGCCCGAGGGACGGATGGGGGGTGTGAGTCTGCATGTCTGGTGTTGCCACCACCGTCGTGCACAACTGGTGGGTGGGCGGTGCAAGGAGGGGCGGATGGGGGGCGTGACTTCTTCCCCATCCTCTCCCCAACTTCTCCCCATCCTCTCCCCAACTTCTCCCCATCCCTCCCCTTTTCCCTTCCCCTCCTGGCAGGTTTGACACGGCTCTGCCGCCCGCAATCGTGCAGTCTGGATTCCGCATGATCTTCAGCAATCTCAATCTCGGCTGGTACCTTGACTTTGTTGACCGCACGTGGAGCGAGGTGAGTCAATGCAAGTCAACGTGAGGCAATGGGAGTGAATGGGAGTGAATGGGAGTGAATGGGAGTCAGTGGGAGTGAATGGGAGTGAATGGGAGTCAGTGGGAGTGAATGGGAGTGAATGGGAGTGAATGGGAGTGAATGGGAGTCGATTGGAGACAAGAACGACCGCGGCTTGTACCTTGACCTTATTGACCGCAGCTGGAGCGAGGCGAGTCAATGCAAGTCAACATGAGTCAATGGGGGTCAGCAGGAGTGCATGGGAGAACATGTAGACAGGAGCAGTATCAGTTGTGGCTGGTACCTTGACTTCATTGACCATACGTGGAGCAAGGTGAGTCAACGCAAGTCAATGGGAGTCAGCGTGATTCAACAGGCGAGCATGAGGAGAGAAGCCAATGTGACTGGTACTTTAACTTCAACCACCGGACGTGACCATCCTGTCTTTCTCCCCGCCCATGTTCTGCTCTGTTGCACTCAGGTGTATTCTCAGGAGCCAACAGCAGGGGTGCCAGAGGCGCTGCAGCACCTGGTGGTGGGCGGCGAGACGTGCATGTGGGGGGAGCGGGTCGACCCGTCTGATCTGCTCAACACTGTGTGGCCGCGCGCTGCTGCTGCTGCAGGTGAGATGATTGTGGTGCTGCAGCTGCCGCTGCTGCCAGAGGGGTGATGATTCTGGTTGTGGGTCAACCCAACCCTTGAGACGTGCATGTGGGAGGAGAGGGTGGACCCGTCTGATCTGCTCAACACTGTGTGGCCGCGCGCTGCCGCTGCTGCTGATGCTGCTGCTGGTGAGATGGCATGCTGCTGGTGAGATGGCATGCTGCTGGTGAGATGGGCATGCTGCTGGTGAGATGGCATGCTGCTGGTGAGATGGGCATGCTGCTGGTGAGATGGGCATGCTGTTGTGGCTTCAAGCGCAAAGTTTGGTGGTGCTGGTGAGATGATGTTTTCCTGCCTGCTCGTACTTTCTCCCAACTCCTTCTCCCCGTCCTACACAGAGCGGCTCTGGTCCCCAAGGGCATACGTGGACTCGCATCTCTCTCAAGCGCACACGCGTCTGCACATGTTCCGCTGCCAGCTCTCATCCCTCCGTTCCTCCCTCCCTCTCTGCCTCTCTCTTCCTTCTCCTCCACACACAGAGCGGCTCTGGTCCCCAAAGGCATACATGGACTCACATCTCTCACAAGCGCACACACGCCTGCATATGTTCCGCTGCCTGCTCACATCCCGTGGCATAGAGGCTGCTCCAGTTGACAATGCCCACGCGCGCTCCCAGCCCCCCTTTCCTGGCAGCTGCTATCGCCAATAAGTGCACCCGCATGTGAAGTGAGGTGCCTCGTGTTTGAGAATGCTAAAAAACCTGCAGCCGTTATGCTGCTGTGATAAACAAACGGCAAAAAAGCACTAATGTGTATATTCAAAGCTGTCAGTGAATAGAATGCAGGAAAGTGGATGATAAAATACCGAATGTGTCCAAGCGGGCATGTGAGAAACCAATTTCGGCTTGAAAGGAAATACAGTCTTAATGAAGGGTTACTGTACTTCAATAGTGTTCGCAGGCATAGGTTGCCCGTGCTTGTACACTATAAACGAGCAGTTACTGTATGTGGAAAACGTTCTCCGCTGTGCACATGGTCTTTATGGTTCTGTACAATAAATGGGCTGGCTGGTTCTGTACAATACATGGGCTGGCTGGTTCTGTACAATACATGGGCTGGCTGGTTCTGTACAATACATGGGCTGGCTGGTTCTGTACATGGGCTGGCATGGGCTGGTTGGGTAGGACCACATCCTGAAAACCACGTGAAAGTCGCCACCTTTTCCTCCCCGTTCCCCTACATGAACCTCTCGGATGGATCAGACCCTAAGATGGTTGGGGATTCCCCTTGGAATTTCCAAGACGTTCTACCTGATTTCAGCATGTGTTTCAGCTGTTGCCACCATTTCATTGTATGACAGCATTTCCCGAGTGTGCTCCCCCCAGACGCGTGAAATACTGCTGCCTAGCCACTTCTTTGTTGCGTCAAGCTCCCGACAGCGCTCAAAATCAGTTACAAGGGAAAACAAGTGAAAAAAAGGGTGACAATATGATGTCACTTCCGAATGGTCCAATCGTAGATCTTCCGACTTCAGTGGCGCTGAGGCGGTTCACAAAACGAAGTGCTTAGCAGTCCTACTCTACTGTCAGATTCACACCCAGCCCCGAAAATACTTGTTCCAGTCTTATTTTCACGACTCAGTGGCAGGATGAACTCAAATCAATGCACCCCAAAAACATACAAATTGTTTTTTCAAGCACCCCATCCAACAAAATCACGCCTCTGCAAACATCGTGTGGAGCAGAAAGTGCCAAGGAGCGAGGGTTCTTGGGTAGTGTTGGAAAATGTGGACCAGACCGCCAAGTTTTGTTTCAATCTGGTGCTGATGCGATCCCGACTTCGCATGTATGTTTTCCAGAAAGGGAGAAAAGAATCACATGTTTGGCAAGAGACTTTTTTTTTTGAATTGAAAGTATACATGATGCGGTTAATGCATACAAACAATATCGGTCGTAACCGCGCAAGAGACACTCTTAGGACGTGGGCCCAATCGACTTTGATCGGCGCGATCAGAGGCGATCCAAAACTTCGAGGAAGGCGGGAAGCAGATTTCAGGCAATCGGGGGCAATCAGCTGATCGTGATCAGCTGATCGCGCCAACTCAATCAACCGCCTCAACCAGCCCGATCAGACCCGATCAGACACAATCAGCCCCAATCACTTGATTGCAAGTGATCGGCGACCTGGGCGATGTACGCAAAAGTAACACGCATCGCCATGAGGTCTCGAAAATCCTTGCGAATACACCCAGTTCGGCGAGAACTGTATGCCATAGGGGTTTTTTTTTTTTTTTTTCAGCCCCTGCTTAGATTCAGAGCTCCGTAGATGTTTCAGAAAATCGCGTTTGACGCGCAAAAAAAAAAAAACATGTAGACAAAAAACCTGACACGCACACGAAACATTTTGCGCCTTCGTGAACAGACAAAATAACCGAATCTTGTAAGGTCACGGCAATGTAGCCACAATTGCGACCTTGTTTTTTACGAAAACACGAACACCACCTGGCAAACATTTTCCCGCACGAGACAGTGACAATTAGGAAGACCACCAATTCTATCACATTAACTTGGTTGTCAATATCACGTAAGCGCATGTAGGTCGATTCATTTGCGAGAGGTTCGGTCGCTCTACCTGCGGTTCGAGGCTGGTCGATGGGATTAAGAAAAGTTCGCGCGCTGGCGCGTCGCGCAATTTTGCCGTAGAACTTCACGATGGCACATTCCGTTTCCTCCAAATGCTCGGTATCGTTGTCGGGCAGAAGCTTTCCGAAACCCAAAGACCCACACATTGAACTGCTGCCAGCCTTCTCCGCCTCGGTCCATCCCCTCGCAATTCACTTCCATCCGTCCTGGTTGGCATAGGGTTTTGTTCTCTATTGGCTCGTTCTTGCCAACCATTTCCCTTACTGTTTGTTCACAGGACAGGCTGAACTCTACCCTCCATTTATTCAAATTGTCCTTGTTATCCGTTTACGGTCCACATCTGGCTCAGATGGCGAGACTTCATGCACTCCATTTGGAGTCGTTCGTGATCCAATTCAGGACTTCCCACCAAATTGTTTGTGTGTCTAAATGTGTGGCTCCGCTCTCTCGTGTCTCCTCGAGGCCTGCACGAATTCTGGACCTCCGATTCGACGTTTGCGGCTAGATACTTTTCAAACGAATCCAAGCCTTTGTTATCTCATTTGCATTTCCGTTCAAATTGGAAAATGCCGACGGATGACGTGCCTATCACAGCTTACAAGTGGAAAAAATATGGGCAAAAAGTCCTCTCGTCTCATCAAGAAGGCAAACGGTTAGTGGAGTTTACGATTGCAATTTACCTGTTTAGATTCTTCTCGTAGATTCTTCTCTTTTTCAAATAACGCGAGTAACATTTCTCGCGCATTTGGGGCCCCAAGTCTGTGAAGAACAGATCGCTTTTTACTCATAACATCGTACCAACGGTCCATTTATTTATTGATATCGTATTTATTCGATGATCAAATCCCACGCTAACTCCGAGTTTGAGTCAAAACATCCTGCTTGGAGAAGTGACCGCTGCTGTTCTATTTTATTTCGTCAGTCTGTCTTTTCCGCCTAGCGAACAATCGCTTTCACAGTGTGTTTCATGTCTATTGCTTGAAGAGTTTCCTCGTGGCTGTTTATTGGGTCAATTTTGAGCCTTATCTCCGAGATTAAAGTACACAGGAAGGCCAAGAATCCGTCTTTATTCTGTTTTTCATTACTTGTTTTGTGTGTGTGTGTGTGTGTGTGTGTGTGTGTGTGTGTGTGTGTGTGTGTGTGTGTGTGTGTGTGTGCGTGTGTGTGTGTGTGTGTGTGGGTGTGTGTGTGTGTGTGTGTGTGCGTGCGTGCGTGCGTGCGTGCGTGTGTGTGCGTGTGCGCGTGTGTGTACGTGTGTTTGTGTGTGTGTGTGTGTGTGTGTGTGTGTGTGTGTGTGTGTGTGTGTGTGTGTGTGTGTGTGTGTGTGTGTGTGTGTGTGTGTGTGTGTGTGTCTGTGTTTGTGTCTGTGTTTGTACGTGTCTGTGTGTGTCATTGTCTCTGCGTGTCTGTGTGTGCCATTGTCTCTGTGTCTGTCTGTGCGTGTCTGTGTGTGTCATTGTCTCTGTGTCTGTGTCTGTGCGTGTCTTTGTCTGTCGGTCTGTGTCTGTATGTGTATGATTCTGTGGCTGTGTCTGTGTGTGTCTGCGTTTCCCTTCAACATTTTTCTTTGTTTTCAATCGTTTTGTGTCATGCAGATTCTACTACGCGTGCGCAGCAAAAGACACGCTCGGATGCCCAGCCAAGCTGGTCGTGGATAAGGTTCCAATCCAACGCAGCATCGGTAGCATCAGCACCAGCAGCATAGCTGCTGCAGACAACAGCAACGGTTGCAGAGTGCGGAGGGTTGAGATGCGAGCAAGCCGCCTGACAGCCAAGAACAAGCACAATCACCCGCCTCCCACTGACGCTCACAGCCCATCGTCATCGTCGTCCCCCCCTCCCACTGACGCTGCCTCTGCCTCTGCCACTGCCACTGCCGCTGCCATCACCGCTGCTACTGCTGCCGCTGCCACTGCCGGTGCCACTACCGCTGTCACAACCACTACTACCGCTACCGCTGCCGCTGCCGTGGCTGCTGCCTTGGCTGCTGCAGCCGCCGCTTGCATGATCGCCCAAGGGCCGCACTTCAGGCCCCCAATCCATGGCTCAAGTTCCTCAGCAAGCCAGCAGCCTCTGTCTGTTCAGCCACCCGTGGAGGAGTTACTACTCCCGCGCTCTGCAGTGCAGTCTGCCGGAATTACTACCCCTCACAGCAGCCGCAGTATCCAAGCCAACCCTAGCAGGGAACGGCGCTCCCCTGAGATCTCCACCACCGCGGCGCCCGCTCTGCAAGGTTCGGTCCAATCTCCAACGCTTGGAGCAGCTTCCCTTTTGAATCCTGGGGGAATTTGTTCGGGAGCAGGAGCTGCAGGAGTAGTAGCAGGAGCAGCAGGAGCAGTAGCAGGAGCAGCAGGAGCAGTAGCAGGAGCAGCAGGAGCAGTAGCAGGAGCACCAGGAGCAGTAGCAGGAGCAGCAGCAGGAACAGCATCAGCAGCAGGAGTAGGCTTAGCAAGAGCAGCAGCGGCAGAAGAGGAACCAGGACCAGTGGCGGTTAAACGGGCCCAGACCAACCCTCGCCCTCACCCTCGTTTCACTTCACCTGTGATGAGCGCGCCATTTCCCCCCGAATCTTCTCCAAATCCTCGTGCGGAATCCGGAGCTACAACCCCACCAACGGGCTCACGGGCTTTAGCCGACTCGGCCGCGTTGCCGTTGCAGGTCAAAGGTTCTTCTGGCGCCTTCCAGGATCTGCCCTCGAGATTGCAGCCTTCAGTGGGATCCCAGCTCACCGCCGCACGCGATGCCATTTTGAATGCTCTTGCAAACGAGCCATGCATGCTCTCACGCCTTTCTACCTCCCAGGAGGCACGTGATGCCATGATGTTGTTAAGCCCCAGCCATACCCAGCTTGCTCGGATACCTTCTCATGCGTGGGCTCACGGTGTTCCTCCAGGTGCTCTGTCAGGTGCTCCGTCAGGTGCTCCGTCAGGTGCTCTCTCAGGTGTTTCTTTAGGCGTTCCTTCAGTTTCTCTGTCAGGTGCTCCCTCAGGTGCTCCTCCAAGCGCTCCTTCAGTTGCTCCTTCGGGTCACCGTTCAGGTACCGTCTCAGTCGCGCTCTCAGGCACTCTCTCAGGTGCAGCTTCAGGTGCCCTTTCAGGTGAACCGTCAGGATCTGCAGCTTTATTGGGCCGGCTTTCCGAGGGTGGAACCACTACTATCATCCGCTCTGACGGGAAAGCCCACTCCGATCCACAGGAGACACCTGGAGACCGCCAAGCGAGTGGGGTGGCACGGCGGATAAGGTCGCTTCCGGGAGACAGGCCCTCGAATTTTCCGATAGACCTCCTCCGTCCACTTGAGTCGGACCCCGTGGTCCTCCTGCCTCTGCGAGACGAAGGGCGGCTGATGCACCTGCAGGTGGAACAGAGCAGACAAACGGAGCAGACAGGACAAATGGAGCAGACAAGACAAATGGAGCAGACAAGACAAATGGAGCAGAGCAGACAAATGGAGCAGAGCAGACAAACGGAGCAGGCGAGGCAGCGTGTCTACAGGGGTGAAACCTCATCTGGTCATTCCAGGCAATCCCTGCCACTTTTCGTCTCCAACAATAGTCCCTCGGGTGAAACAAACGGACTTGCTGGCAAATACATGACACATAACAGACTCCATGATAGCGGTTCCGATGGAGGGGAATTTCCAGATGGAAAGAGCAGGGCAGGTGAAACGAGCAGAGCAGGAGAGTACCCAGGAGTTGAGCGCCAAATTGTGGGTCGAGTGCTAACCTGTGGGCACTGCGCCTCTGGGAGCAGTGCTGGCACGGTTGCTGCGAGGGGTGCTGTCAGGGATGTGTGCGCAGATTGTTCCAACATGCAGCAGCGGCAGCAGCAGCAGCAGCAGCAGCAGCATGACGCGAATATCAGTGTGGGTGGGAGTGCGAACAGGTCAGCTCCCCCCCTTCGCCTGTGTGATTGGGACGACCATGATGTTGATGCTGCTACATCTCATGCTCCAAATGCTTCTCTTGCTCCTGCTCCTGTGTCTGCTCCTGCGGCTGCTGCTGATCCTGCTCCTGTTCCTGTTTCTGCGCCTGCCACTGTTCCTGCTGCTGGTGCTGCTACTGTTCCTGCTGCTGGTGCTGCTGGTCGTGATAATTTTCATGCTGGTGGCTCTGGTACTGCTGCAGCTGCACCTGTTGCTTCTGAAGAGAATGCCGTGCAAACAGGAGAAGGTGCTGATGTGGCAGATTGTGTGACACGTGGCGTTCAAGGAGGAAGACAAATCGGAGGAGGCAGACAGAAATTAGCATCGGGCGTCAAGATCGAGCCTGAGCCTGCACTTCCCCTTGGTTCCTTACCTGCCAGCAGCGCCACTTTCGCCAGCAGCGCCACTTTCGCCAGCAGTGCCACTTTCGCCAGCAGCGCCACTTTCGCCAGCAGTGCCACTTTCGCCAGCAGCGCCACTTTCGCCAGCAAGCAGTGTTGCCTTTGCCAGCAGTGGCGCTGTTGCCACCAATGCTCGCCTCCCTGAGATGTCTGCTGCAGGCAGCGGGTCCACTGCGCAGCAATCTGTGCAGAGTCTTGAGTCGGCTCAAAGGCCACCTGCACAGCAATTCGCGTGGTCCCCTTCTTTGCGCTGCACTCCCCGGCTTGCCAAACGTTGCAGCAGCAGGCGGTGCTGCAGGATCAGGGGCGGGCGCAGCAGGTGCTGCAAGCACCGCAGGAGCAGCAGGAGCAGCAGCAACTGCAGGATTCGTGGAGGCTGCAGAAACACGAGGAGGAGGAGGAGGAGGAGGAGGAGGAGGAGGAGGAGGAGGAGGAGGAGGAGGAGGAGGAGGAGGAGGAGGAGGAGGAGGAGGAGGAGGAGGAGGAGGAGGAGGAGGAGGAGGAGGACGAGGAGGAGGAGGAGGAGGAGGAGGAGGAGGAGGAGGAGGAGGACGAGGAGGAGGAGGAGGAGGAGGAGGAGGAGGAGGAGGAGGAGGAGGAGGAGGAGGAGGAGGAGGAGGAGGAGGAGGAGGAGGAGGAGGAGGAGGAGGAGGGGGTGGGTTATTAGCAGGAGCAGCAAGAGCAACAGCAACACCAACAACAAAAACAGCCCCAGAACCAGAATCAGTAGCAACAGGAGCAATGGAGCAGCAACCACAGGAGGTAGACACATTTTTCGATGCATCAAGACCGTCCGCAAGAATAAGAGGCAGCGTGGGATTGCAAGGCAGTGTGGGAATGGGGGCCAGTGCGGAAGTGAGCGGCAGTGCGAGGATGAGGGGCAGTGCAGCAGCGCATGGCACGCCATGGCAACGCCTCCACTCGTGCTTCTCCACCACCTCCCCTCTGCACACCCTCCTCTCCCCGCAACCACCCCCGCCCCAACCCCCCATGCCCCAACCCCCTGAACCCCTACCTCCTGCGTCCCACCCTCTTGCTGCCCACCTCTCGGGTACCACCCTCCCGCGTCCCACCTTCCCGGGTACCACCCTCCCGCGTCCCACCTTCCCGGGTACCACCCTCCCGCGTCCCACCTTCCCGGGTACCACCCTCCCGCGTCCCACCTTCCCGGGTACCACCCTCCCGCGTCCCACCTTCCCGGGTACCACCCTCCCGCGTCCCACCTTCCCGGGTACCACCCTCCCGCGTCCCACCTTCTCGGGTACCACCCTCCCGCGTCCCACCTTCCCGGGTCCCACCCTCCCGCGTCCCACCTTCCCGGGTACCACCCTCCCGCGTCCCACCTTCCCGGGTACCACCCTCCCGCGTCCCACCTTCCCGAGTACCACCCTCCCGCGTCCCACCTTCCCGGGTACCACCCTCCCGCGTCCCACCTTCCCGGGTACCACCCTCCCGCGTCCCACCTTCCCGGGTACCACCCTCCCGCGTCCCACCTTCCCGGGTACCACCCTCCCGCGTCCCACCTTCCCGGGTACCACCCTCCCGCGTCCCACCTTCCCGGGTACCACCCTCCCGCGTCCCACCTTCCCGGGTCCCACCCTCCCGCGTCCCACCTTCCCGGGTACCACCCTCCCGCGTCCCACCTTCCCGGGTCCCACCCTCCCGCGTCCCACCTTCCCGGGTACCACCCTCCCGCGTCCCACCTTCCCGGGTACCACCCTCCCGCGTCCCACCTTCCCGGGTACCACCCTCCCGCGTCCCACCTTCCCGGGTACCACCCTCCCGCGTCCCACCTTCCCGGGTCCCACCCTCCCGCGTCCCACCTTCCCGGGTACCACCCTCCCGCGTCCCACCTTCCCGGGTCCCACCCTCCCGCGTCCCACCTTCCCGGGTCCCACCCTCCCGCGTCCCACCTTCCCGGGTCCCACCCTCCCGCGTCCCACCTTCCCGGGTACCACCCTCCCGCGTCCCACCTTCCCGGGTCCCACCCTCCCGCTGTTGATCCAGCCTCTGTCTCCCAAGCCAACCACCCTTCTTCCAACCATCCTACCGCCACCCACCAACCCGTCACCCACCCTCCCGCCAACAACTCTCCTGCCAACCACCCGCCCTCCAACCACCCTCGCACCAGCCACCCGCCCGCCAACCACTCATCTTCTCTCATAAAATCATCTGCCTCCCCCGCTGCTGTGGTGCCACCTTCTCTGCTCGGTTCCCTCTCTGCTTCTGCCATAATCGCTGCTGCGGCTGCTGCTGTTGCCGCTTCTGCTGCTGCTGCCTCTCCTTCCTCTGCCCCTGACCTCTGTCTCCCTCCTCCTTCCCGCCCCCCTCCTCCTCCCCCTCCTCGCCTCCCAGCCGTGCCGCATGCCCTCTCCTCCTCTCTTCCGTGTACCACTTCCCATCTTCCTCCTCAGCCTCCTCTCAGCCTCTCCCCTCTCCTCCACACAGCCCCAAATCACACGGCATTCTCCACCTCCAATCCTGCTCGCCCTGCCATCCCTGCTTCTTCCCATTTACCAGGATCCATTGCTGCAGCCATGCCAGCTCCAGAAACTGATGCCCCTGTTCCTGCTGCTGCCTCTGCTGCTGCTCCTGCTGCTGCATCTGCTGCGGCCTCTGCGGCTGCTGGTACTGTCTGTGCGTCTGCTAGCCATGCCAACACCGTCTCACCGCAGCACCTCACCCCACCAGCTCGCCAACATGCCTCGCCGTTAACTCCTACACCCCCTGCTGTGCCACCACTGCTAACACCTGCCACAACCCCTTCACCACTGCAAACACCCACTGCACCCCCGGCTGTAGCACCACTGCAAAGACCTGCCACAACCCCCGCTGTAGCACCAGCAGCAGCACTACCAGGTGTCGCCCTCCCAGTGGCCATTCTGCTAAGAGTAGCCTGTGTGATTGACAGCATACGAGCCCTGCTGGCCAACGCCGCACCCACCACTCCTTCCCCCTCCCTTCCGCTCTCACCCTCTCCCGCTTCTCGTTTCCCCCCTGCTGCACCCACCCTTGCTGCCTCATCTGCTGTCACAGCTTTTCCTGTTTCTGCTGCTAGTGCTGCTGCTCCTGCTTCCACTCCTGCTGCTGCCACTGCCAGTGATTCTGCTGCTGCTGCTGCTACTGCTGCTAATGATTCTGCTGCCTATGCCACTTTTACCGGTCTCTCTCCTGCTGCAGCGACAACCCCCTCGCAGTCCCCGGCAGCAGCAGCCCAGCATCAGCGGCAATTAATGCAGTCAACGCAGCCAACACAGACAATGCAGTCAACTCAGTCAATGCAATTAACGCAGCTAACGCAGATAATGCAGTCAATGCAGTCAATGCAGCCAATGCAGACAATGCAGGAGAAGTCAGCTACACATATTCTTCAACAGGGAACGCCAGAGAATCACCTGCAGCAGCAACAGCAATCGCAGCAGCAACAGCAATTGCAGCAGCAACAGCAATCGCAGAAGCAACAGCTATCGCAGCTGCAACAGCAATCGCAGCAGCAACAGCAATCGCAGCTGCAACAGCAATCACAGCAGCAACAGCAATCACAGCCATGCCAGCAATTGTTGGTACGGAAGCAACTAGAAACCCAGGCAGGTCAGCAGGCAAGGCAGCACGTGGCAAGACCACCACAGCAGCTGTCAGGCGCCTCTGAGTTGTCTCACAGTGTTACTCAGCGAGCAACCCAGCCATCCCAGCTAACCCAGCAGCAGCAGCAGCCGCATCAGCAGCAGCAGCAGCAGCAGCAAGAGCTATGGCGGTACTTAGAGCAGCATTTGGGGCGGAAGTTAGGGCAGAAGTTGGTGCAACAACTGCAGGATCAGTTGGGGCAGCATCACGGTCAGCAGGTAGAGGCACAGGCAGTTCAGCAGCAGGCAAAGCAGCACGTGGCAGGACAACCACAGCAGCTGTCAGGTGCTTCTGATTTTTCTCACGACGAGACTCAGCAGTCAACTCAGCCGACACAGGTATCCCAGCAGCAGCAGCAGCAGCAGCAGCAGCAGCAGCAGCAGCAGCAGCAGCAGCAGCAGCAGCAGCAGCAGCAGCAGCAGCAGCAGCAGCAGCAGCAGCAGCACAGCAGCAGCAGCAGCAGCAAGAGCTATGGCGGTACCTGGAGAAGCATTTGGGGCACGATTTAGGGCAGAAGTTGGTTCAACAGCTGCAGGACCCTTAGTGGGAATATACGCTCAAACCCTAAAGCGTATAGCGTATACACGCTAGCGTGTGTACGCAAAACGCAATACGCTAGCTAATACGCTATACGCTATCAAAAAAAATTTCGGGCTGCCCAGGGAAAAAAATCGCTTGTATACAGAAAGATGCGGAATCTTCTGCTGAGCATTTCGCCTAAGTCGAAATGCAATTTGACGGTCTAGGGAAGCGGGAGTGGGCCTTCGAAGTTGCAGGCAGTTCAAATTTGAACATTAGCTTGGTACCGCATTGGAACCCATATTATCTACGAATTCCAACCTGTCCAAAACGTCCCCCACCAAACCCCACTCACGCTACTTACCAGCCAGCAAAATTCCAGTCGTCATTTCTAGTTGGCATTCCCGCTTTCTAACAGCATAGCTCCTTCCGATTCCTACCTACTTCTCCTTTTAGTGTCTACTCCACGTCCCACCCCAATCGCCGTTCAGACTTAGGGAAATGCTACGAAAGTCTTAATGAGAATAGGGATCACCTTCTTAATCTTGAGCACGACGTTTTTTTCACCCTGCCCGGGATAGTTTTTTACCTGCCCGAAAAAACGTATTACCAAATCGACCCTTAAGCGTTTAGCGTATATACGTTCGCGTATATACGATACGCGTATATACGCTATAAGCGTATATTCCCACTAAGGCAGGACCAGTTGGGTCAGCATCTGGGTCAGCAGTTAGAGACCCAGGCGGGTCAGCAGCAGGCGAGGCAGCACGTGGCAGGACCACCACAGCAGCCGTCAGAGGCTATTGACTTGGCTCAAGGTGTGACTCAGCAGTCACCTCAGAATACCCAACCAGCCCGGCCGCAGCAAGCGTTATCGCAGCAGCTAGAGCAGCAGTTGGTGCAGCAATTAGGGCAGAATTTGGCGCAGCAGTTGGGGCAGCATCTTGGTCAGCAGTTGGACGCACAGCAGCCCGTGGCAAGGCCACCACAACAGCCGTCAGGCGCTTCTGAGCTGCCCCCGGGTGTGATTCAGCAGTCAACCCGGCAAACACAGCAAAGCCGGCAGCAGCAAGAGCTGTGGCAGCAGTTGGAGCAGCAATTGAGGAAACGGTTGGGACAGAATCTGGGGCAGCAGCTACGAATTACCGAGCAGAAGCAGGCAGAGTAGCAAGTGGGTGAACAGGCAGGGCAGCAGATGGATCAGCAGGTGTGGCAGCAGCAGAGGTGTGGCTCGACTCAGGAGCACTGGAGGCCGGGGGAGGAGGGCTCAGAGACCGTCACCTCCTTGAACCTCCGCCTGTAGCGCCGCTCCGTGGCTGACCTTGCATGGTTCAGTGCAAGGTGCGGCAGCAGCAGGGGCGTGACTCGAGTGAGGAGCAAGGGAGGCAGAGGGAGGAAGGCTTGAAGCCGTCACCTCCTGGGACCTCCGCCTCTAGTGCTGCACCGTGCCTTCCTTCCTTCCTTGCCCCTCACATGGCTAAATGCATGCTGGTGCCGGCCGGTATGTCAACTGTGCAACACGTGTATGGATGCTATGCCGCCGCCGATAAGACGTGGTCAAGCCACTATGACACGTGGATGCTAATAAAACGTGGAAGAGCTGTTGATACGACGTGGATGGCGCACGGATAGGATGCGGATTATGCGTTGCTGATGCGGATCATGCGTTGCTGATGCGGATCATGCGTTGCTGATGCGGATCATGCGTTGCTGATGCAGAATCCGTTGATGATGAGGATAAGATATGGAACGAATGTGTTGGTGAAGCGAGGAGGTGAGTCGGCTAGGATCTTAGTGTGAATTCCTTCTTTATCGGCGAAAATGGTGCCATTTATTAGAGTACATAATCATGTACAAGCGAAAATGTATACACTGTACAGCCATGCTTCTACATCAGCCATGTTTGTATTGATCACATTCTCCATGCACACACACAGCAGTCCCGGTTCGTCTGATGGCCACAAAGCAATCTATCATTTGCCCCCCATCTCCCTTTGCAAAGCAATCCGCGGGGAGTATGAGGAAGGTGGGAGTGTAGCGGGCAGGGGGAATGAGCGAGGAGTGAGCGGGAGGAAGTCCAATGAGATGGGTTGCGGTCTGCAGGGTGTGGAAGGGGTGTGTCGAGAGGGGTGTGAGCGGAGGGGTGGGTGGGTTTATGGGGGTGTGAGAGGACGGTGTGGGGAAGAGGTTGGTGTGGGAGGAGGGGGGTGGGGGGTGGTGGAGGAAGGGGGTGTAAGAGGAGGGAGCTGTGAGAGGAGGGGTGTGCGGGGTGAGGGGTGTGTTGGGGTGAGGAGTGTGTGGGGTGAGGGGGTTGGTGGGAGCAAGTGGGTTGTCAAAGGGGGTTGCAGGATCAGGGGTGTGGGAGGAGGGGTGTGAGAGGAGGGGTGTGAGAGAAGAGGTGTGGGAGGAGGGGCATTTGAGGAGGGGGCAGGGCTATTGAAGATAATCTGGCCTGAGGCGTGTCAAGGCAGAGTCACCAGTGTCACATGGATCAGTATGATGTAATGGGATCGCATGCGTGTATGCATGTGTATCTCCGTAGGTATATGCGCCATGAAGCATGGGATGGCATGGCATGCTATGATTGCTGACGAGAAAAGGCCCCACCCTTACTTGGGCGAAGTCGACCTCGCTGTCCGGTGCGCAAAGGTGTGCAGCCGGCTGCGTTCGTGATCGACGCCGACTTCAAGGGAGTTTTATTGAAGTGCGATGAATCACTTGGCTCATGAGATTAATGTGTCGACGTTGAAGAAACCTTTTAAATAGCCGCAACAAAAGCCGGCGAGGCGCTGGTCGACGAAATGAAGTCGCTTGGCTCATGAGACTAATGAGCTGCTCCGAGCCTTGGCTGTCGATGGATTGCTCGTTGACAAGGCGCCAGCCAACGGAAATAATTTGTTGGCGGCGCTGGCTGAGCGGCCTCTTTCTGGTCGACTAAAATATTTGGTCAGCAAATCTTTGCATGTGCACGAATTTTGCCCTAGGCGTTTTTTGTTTTGTTTGTTTTTTTTTTTTTTGCGAAAATCGACATGCGGAATCGGCATCACGTGTACGCAACCGTCTGTTGAAGTGACTTGCACCCAATTTCGCACCTGCCACACATGTGTGCATACGTTCACTTGCGACTGCAGTGCTGGTAGGCCGCCATGGTGCAACGTTGGCAAGCTACCTTGTTGCAGCATTGGCACCCCGCCTTCCTGCTGCGTTAGCAAGCAGCCTTCATGCTATGCTGGAAAGTCTCTTTGCTAGGTTCCTGGTGTGCTGCACTACATTCTTGATATGTCGACTTCCTTCCTTGCCATAATATGCTATTGATTTGTTCCTCTTATTGAGACTCTTGTCAAATCCGCCTACAAACTTGCACAAGCATTACGGAACACTATGATCACCCCGTACAACACGTAACCTCCTACGTAGTCTACCCGTTGTAGGGTGAATCTCTGCATGGTACGGTGAGCATGGAACGGGCCCGCATTGGATATGGAGAATAGCCCAAGTATTGCGTATGAGCTCTATTGTAGCTTAGGTCGACAACCGTCTCGACCACCGTGAATGACCAAGGTTTCACAAGAGGATGCTGTGGTGAAATCGGTACTGGGGAACTTCAGTGCATCATTGAGGGAACTTGTGCATAGTGGCCGCGCGAACACCTCCCCGTGCTGCAGCGGGCGGTGAGTCTGCCTCTCCCCAAGTTAGAGACGACTACGACGTCGATAACCTTGTCGACGACGGAGGTGCAAGGATGGTGCGCGGAGTGAATCGAGGACCTGACAGAGCCAACATCGTCAGCGTCGGTGGGATGCAGGCGCAAATCCTGTGGTCGGTGGCTACGGGCAGCTCACGAGGTGACATCGACAGACTTCACCGCTGTACCCGGCGAAGTGGCGACAGGCCGTCGTGGGCATCAAATTCGTCCACCGGACGAGTTGGCAGCATCGCCCTGACCTAGAGCTACTTCAATTTTTCGCCGGACGAAACCGCGATGCCCAAGCTCCTTGAAGACCGACATTGCCTGACAACATGGACAGAATCGATTGATCCGTAGCGTGAGATTCTGCAACTATAGAAGTTCAGTGACGGCATCGTGGAGAGGCCGGGTGAGGACGACGTCGAAATCCGGGCCCAATTTCGCGACATATAACTGCTGACATGCACGCTCATCTCGTGAGGACGACACTTGCGGCTCTTGGGTTTGCCCCTTCCACTGCTGACCCGTCGCTGTTTCTACGCACCGACACTTCACTGCCGCTGTTCTACATCCTCGTGTACATCGACGACTTGGTCTTTGCCACTGCTGACACTGAGGCTCTCGCCCTTGTGAAGTCGGACCTACAGAAGAAACACACGTGCACAGACCTGGGTGAGCTGCGCAGTTACCTTGGCTTGCAGATCACCCGGGACAGAGCACGCCACACCATCACCCTGACTCAGTCACGCATGGTGCAGCAGGTCCTTCAGCACTTCGGCTTCACTTGGTCCTCGCCACAGTCCACTCCTCTGGCTACAGGTCACTCGCTCTCAGCTCCACCTTCGGACGAGTCCGTAGAGCCGAGTGGCCCGTACCCAGAGCTAGTGGGCTGCCCCATGTACCTGATGACCTGCACTCGTCCTGACCTTGTGTACCCTCTTGGCCTTGTGGCACGCTACGTGGCTCCTGGTAGGCACAGAAAGGTACACATGGATGCTGCGAAGAGGGTACTGCGTTACATGTGCAGTACATCGGGCATGGGGCTCGTGCTTGGAGGGCGGAGCTCAATTGACCTCACTGGACACTTAGACGCTTCTTCGGTTGACGACCTGGCTACGCAGCGGTCGTCACAGGGCTACACTTTCAACCTTGGCCGCGGCTCTGTTTCTTGGCGGTCTACCCGCTCGTCTTCTGTTCTCAGCTCCAGTTGTGAGGCCGAGATCTACGCCACAGCCATGGCTGCACAGGAGTTACGCTGGCTCACCTACTTGCTGACCGACTTGGGAGAGCGGCCTCGTTCTCCTCCAGTTCTGTACGTAGACAACAAGGCCGCCATTGCCTTGAGTCAGGAGCACAGACTGGAGCACAGAACGAAGCACATCGCTCTGCGTTACTTCCTGGCTCGAGAGTTGCAGCAGCGTGGTCAGCTTCGTTTTGCTCACGTGGCCACTCGGGCCAACACTGCTGATATATTCACCAAGGCACTTCCGTCTGGTGATCATAAGCGCTTCTGTACTATGTTAGGCCTTGTGCCTGTTTCGTCTCACTTGCTCACTACGTGACTTTGCTTGTACTCTGCATGCTTGCTCTTGCTAGGTAGTGATTACTGTACTGTTGTTGTTGCATATATACCTCTGCATGTGAATTGGCCTTGTGGCCCTTTGCTTGTGCTCGAGTGTGTGGTGACGTTGTGATCCACCCTGAGCTTGCTTTGCTTTTCTTAACTGGCCTTGTGACCCCTTGTTCTCCCCCACTTTGCCTATGGGGGTGTGTTTTAGTTCTGTGTAGGCTATAGTGGGGTAGCCCGTATGGGGTACAACCCGAAGTTAGGGTTAGTAGTTGTACCCACATTTCATTCAATGTAATCATTCCTGCTTGCTATCTTGACAACTACTAGCCAAAGGTCCAAGTGGTGTTGAAGCCTTGCCGACTAAGCGAAGACGCCCGTTTCTAAGCTTGGTATACGAAGCGATCGACGACCTTTATATCGGCCAACTAGAGCCGCGACTGACCAACCTCAGGGGCGAGCATGAGTCAGTGACGGAGTACTGCAACAATTCGCAACATGTTTTAGCAGACTTTCGAATGGTCGGCGTCAACTACGCGTTGTTGTCGTACACTACTCACGTCATTGAGGGTCTCCCCTAATAATACAAGCTGTTGCGCCGGATGGTGAAGCTCCTTTGCATGGTTCATAATTGAAGAGGAGTTAAATTGAGGACTCCTTCGCCTGTGGAGAACCCCCACCTTCCGTACAATTTCCCCAACTGCAACGAGTCCGACGAGGAACAGGAAGCTGGCCGCGGAAGGTCCGACGCCGGCCGTCATCCTTATGACAATCATCACCGCAAGGAGAAGCAAACGTCAAATATGTCGTCGGCGACGGACGCTGGCTCTTTGAGCGGCAATGCCCGCAGCGACGCACTGGCCTCGTGCTCGATGGACGACATCGTGGAGTTGAGCATCTCTCTGGCGCCGGA